GAAGAAGAAGAAGAAGAAGAAGAAGTTGTCTTTGGATTCTTAGAACTGTGTGAAAATCAATCAGATTTTGAGGCTCTGTGTTTTGTTTCAAACCATATTATACAATGAAGAAGAATATAAGCAGATTATCGTAACAAAATAAACGTTATTGAATGATGTATGTTCTAGCAAGTTGACCTTTTATTACTTTTACTTTTTAAATAATTTGCTAAGAAACAGAACTGTGCAGATCTAGCCGGCCATCCACTCCTGACCTCCACAAGACCCTAACAAGGTAAGTCTTTATCATTCCACTAATAGTGTGGTTTATGTAAGCACCAAATTCAAAGCAAATAAACTGTATTTTGCTGTCCTGATGATGGCCCTGCATTAAGTAATGCATTATATTTTAGCATACCTTTAAGTAGTACACTTGACTCTCTGAGACAATTATATTCTTAGGGAGTTTATTGATAACTTGGCCTAAAAACAAAACGTTAAAGAATTGATGATTCTAATTGTTTGTTTGCTTGTTTGTTTTTCCCATATGCAAATACCAACATTTCTTGTGTGGTCTTTTGTAATAATGTATTTAAATTACAAGTTCTAGGGCTGGTCAGATAGCTCAGTGGACTAAAGAGCCTGCTTCGACAGAGTGCGGCAGCCAGGGTTCAATCCCTGGCATGCCATGCTGGCCCTGGCAATTGAAACTGGGCATGGTGGCATGTGCCTGTAATCCCAGTGCTTGGGAGGCTGAAAACAAGAGGATCACTATGAGTCTGATCTACGTAGTGAGACTCTGAACACCCTGTAGGCCCTGTACCAAATACATAAAAAATAAATAATAAGTTCTTACAGTACGTCCGGCTCCATGGTAGGCACTGAAAATATAATGATGAATGTAAAGAATTTTCTGATATCCAATTTTCTGATATAAATGCATATATATATATATGCATTTTAACCACAGACTAAGAAAATTCTATACAAAGCCAGCAGTAACATTAGACAGTGAAAATCTTGATCAGAATCAGTCATGGCATGGTCTAGACCTTTTCTCGAAGACAAAAATCATGTTAATTGTTTCCAAAGAGATTTTAAATTTAGGAATAAGTTAAACAGATCTTGGAGGCCTGGAAAAGCACAAGGAGAAACTGAGATAATAGGGACAATAACTAGAGGAAGCAATTGCCACGACTAGGGAGGGGTTGGGAGGAAGGGATTAGGTGATTGGCTCAGGATCTCAGACCAGACAGTTTCGAGATAGGGCTCAAGACAGCTCTGCTCAGCTGCTGATTTTGAGACTTAAAAAATTTTTTGCAGGTTTTTGCCATTTGCTGTTGCCAGTTGACACTGACAGAAACAGCAAAGCGACAGGAAGAAGCAGGAGTCCCTACTCCCCAGCTGCTGCGTCCCAAGCCCCATCTAGTCTGGTCTAATACAACCTATGGCTGAACGTAACAGAAGGCCAGCTGGAGAAAGCAATGCGGTGGCAGCCTCAGCACCACCACGCCACCTCTGCAGCAGGGGGTGGGAGCCGAGAGATCCTCATTGATCAAGTGACTGAGAAAGAGCTCTCCAGACAGGTGACATTTGAGCAGAATTCTGAAAAATAAAAACAAGCCCAGCGTATGAAGAGTTGGGAAATGATCTCAGACAGCTAAGGACCTGAACAGTGCAATATCTTCAAAGAAAAAGATTAGGAGAGGGCGGCGCAGTGGGCGGGAACATAGCTGGAGATAGACTAATCAGCCTGTGTTCACCGGAAGACAGGCTAAGTGCGAATGTACGAGTATATGCTACACCTTGAGTGTCAGGGCACTAAGAGGCCAGTGACACTTTAAGAAAGAAGTCAGTTATTTACTAAAAACCCAGTGAAAGGCACCATGCTACCCAGGGGTTCCTGCAGACAAAACAACTCGCCCTCTGCCTCCTACACCTGTTCCTCTGTATTTTATTTCCCACTTACTGGCATCATTTATCCAGTTTCTTCAACCAGAAAGTCTGAGTCATCTTTCTGACTCCCCACATGCTGTGACTCACCAAATCCTGCCTCTGCTCATCGTTCTAAATTAACCGCCTGCCTACCATTCTTTGCTGTCACTACCTTGGTCTTGTCTCCAGCACTGTTCTCCCCAAATCTTTCCTTTACACAGTACCCAGCATGATCAACCTGAAACATAGGCCAACTTGCATAACCCTACTAGAAGCCCTCTCTGCACAGCTGAGGTGAGGTACCCAGTTAGATCATTCAAAGCCCCTCCAATCCAGGCCCTCATTCCCCAACTCCATTCTCTCCCTTCCCATTTTGTAAAAGAGCAAACCATTAGTAGTTGCTCCCTCCCAGCCTGTGATATGATGCCGCTGTGTCTTTAAGCTGACTAATCCTGCAAGATTTAGCCTGAAGCCTAGGAAGGGGGCTCAGTGGTAGAGCCTGCTCAGGCAGCATCACAATAAATAATAAATAAATAAATAAATCCAGTGTAAGTGTTATCTTCTCCAGCCAGCCTTCCTCAACTCCCCCAATGGGACAAAGTTCACTGTATGCCTCTCTATGGTTTGCTCCCAGAGTTCACTCCTTCCAGAGTTCACTGTAGGCCTCTTTATGGCTTCCTCCCCAACTCACAGGGAAGTTCACTGAGCTCAGAGGCTGTTCCTCTTTACAGTGCAGGGTGGATAATGGGAACTCATTGCTCAGCTGACGCACAGATCTGACCTTGTGCAGCACTCGTCAGAAGCCAGCGATGGGACATGGAGCGAACCTTCATGTCCCAAGCTTGGAACTGGCAGGCCCAACTCCTGAGCTGCAAAGACAGGGGGTGGCTTGGTCATGAGCCTCACACCAATAAACGTTTCCAGTGCATTCACAGCCAAATGGTAAATGAAGTCACATAGTTTTATGTTTTTTCACTGTTAAATAGAGCATTAATATTTTAAAGGCAAATATTTAAAAGACACTATACTTCTTATTTCCCTCTTTTGATATCTGTACTTTTTAATATATCAGTATGAAGTAATACCAAAGGATTTAATTAAGATTCTTCAGAAATATTACCATCAAGGCTGAAGGAAAGCAGCCAGATTTAGGCAAAAATGTTTCCTGTCCCTGGAGCAGGAAAAGCAGGACCTGGCAGGTGGAAATTATGCAATAAGTATGCTGAATGAAGAAATCAATGACTAGAAACCTAGCCAACATCCTTGATGTAGGACTGGGGGAAGAGTTTGTCCATTGGAAAGATGGTCAAACTCAGCATAAGGTACCGGTACCCAGGACACCCTCTGGCCTCCACAGGGAGAGGCTGCCTTTGTCTGCAGACTGAGCCCTTTGTATGTGTTGAGCTCTCACAGCCTGTGCCATTTAAGGCTGGTGCTACCTCTCAGGCCCTGGACTCTGCTTCTAGAAAAGAATCCTGATATGTATCCCGGGGGAATGCCTGCTCTCAGCTCCTGACATCCACACCAGCTCCCAAGTGGCAGTTGTAGTTCTTGTGCAAAGATTGTCAGATGAGTAGTTCATGAGGGTTCAAAGAAACTGAAATAATGTCTGGGCCTTGCACTCAAATATAACAAGTGGTGACCCAAGTGAAGTGACTTCACAAAGCTAGTGTCTCCCCAAGGGCAGTGGTCAGCCAGTGTCTCCTTGTGTGAGTCCATCTTCATAAGCAGGGAGTGAAGTGGCTAGACAGGTGGGCATCTGTCATGTGATTAAAACATAAGAGTGAAGGATGGTGGGAGATGGGGAATCTCCTAAACACAGAAAGGTGAGGACAGATAACCTAATCACATTCTCGCGAGAGCACACTTTCAGGAAATGAATGCCGTGTGTTAATTTGCCCAGGCAACCTTTCTGGAATGTCCACTTAGCATGTGTCCAGAACCCAGTAGATTCTGGGGATTCAAAGATGAAAGAATCAGAACCAGCAAGCCTGGTTGTAAGCAGAGTTGCCCACTAAAAATGCTCTCTTGGAGCTTTTCTTCAGCGATGTCTCTGAAAATTAAGACACAGGGAGATTGAATGTTGCATGCTCACCTGAATGATGAATGACGTAAGGTGCTTCCAACCTTCACACATCGCATCTGTTCCAGAATCGTATTATTGCCACATGGACTTTTCTCCCCCAGGAGACCCAAAACTCTTCACCGGCCAGCAGAACCTCCCATGAGCTGTCTGGGCTCCAGCAGTGCTGCCCGCAGTCATCTCAGGGGTGGAACCCTCTGGGCTGTTCCTGCCCTGTGTACCCTCTTACTTGGGAGCCTACCTATGTCAACACATTATGATGCAGCAGCAACAGAACAATGCCTGGAGCAGCCTAGCCTGTACTTTTACCAAGGGGTTAGTTGCCTGCCAGGGGACATGAAATCCTTCTGCTAAGGACATGTGAGAAGAGTAGAAACGTGCTCTTTGGAGATCATTGTCCTGGTTGACACCCAGGAGATTTCCAGGGACCTATTTCAGCCTCACTTCTGTGTAAGTGTCTGCGTGGTGCCTGGTTACTGAGCCTGAATGGGAGCCTAGGGAAAAGGGACTGGACAGTTGAATGTTGCATGCTCACCTTAGCACTGCACCCATAAGGGCAATGTCTGCTGTCTCTCCACCCTTCTCTTTTCCTTCTCGTTTCATCTACTTCAACCAGAACAATCAGGAAACTCTGCGATGTTCTAAAACTTGGTGGCTGAATTTCTTTTTCTTAGATGTGATCTCAAAACTCAAATTGTTTTAAATAAAAGCACACTTTGGGGATTCCTTTTAAATTTTTATTTTTTAAACAGTGACACCAATTTTCTTCCATTAGTAACAGAATTTTAGAAGTACATATTTTTTTTTCATACTGGGATTTGAACCCAGGACCTTTGCACTTAGATATATCCCCAGCCCTGTTTTTATTTTGAGACATAGTTCTTACAAAGTTACCTAGGTTGGGTTGGAATTTATGATCCTCCTACAGCCTCCCAAAGTGCTGGGATTATAAGCATGTGCTAACACCTGGCTTTTGACCCCACAGTTTGTAATTACCCAAGTGGGAGAAAAGATCGAGAACACAGGGCCTGCTGGTCAAAGCTAGAAGGCTTGGAGGGAAGTGCCATTGTGAAGAGAAAGGTGGCCACAACAGTCAGACCGAAAAAATGTAGGCAGAATTCCTGCCTGCAATCATGGCAGACCTGTCTTAAAATGTATTTATCAGTGTGTTCAGAATCTCGAAGAAAATCTGTGTAATATCTATGCTGCAACGTGCCGTGAAGAATTAACCTCAAGCACCAAGAATTACAGAAAATAGCTTTATTGAGTGACAGAGAAACAACATCATTTAAGACCTATCAAGTAATTATAGACAAGGAATAGTACAATAAGAAGAAAAAGACCTAATGAGAATCTAGGTGGGAGGTGGATAGGTATTCACTATAAAATTCTTTCAATTTATCCATAAGTTTGAAAAGACCCCATGCGAACTCTAAGTAGCAAAATTTCAGAAAACATTTTGGGTGTAGAAACATCCTTCTGAATCAAGCAGCTGGAAAACCCAGTCAAAATACCCTTATGCTGGCTCCTCGGGTTACTGCTTCTTGCTCTTCCCAATTTTCATTACCATTCAAGTTGTCACATTTCCAAAAAATTCCAAACAATTGCATTTATTCCTGGACAAATAAAGACACCTTACCAGCAACGCAGCATGAACGTAGCCAGCATCCAACGGTACTGGGTCGTCTGTGAAACAGTGACAAGCTGAGGAAGTCCCGCGACGGTATGGACAGTTGAGGGAGGGGTACATTAGCTCTTCTCCTGACAGTTACGCCTGGGTCGCTTCCGCGAGCTTGATTTCCCAGCTGTATGCCTAGCAATGATTTCTGGTCTGTAAAAAGATTTGATAGAGATATAGACTTGATACTTTTTCTTTTTAGTAAAAGTAACCAACAATGTTTTTTCAGATGAAAATTATAACTGTAATTTTGCAGAAAGTACAGCCAGATATAACTGCCTGTTACAGTAATGTGCGTTCCATTGGAACTGGGAAAAAAAAAAAAAACAGAAAAATGATTGTGGGAGGAGAAAAGCACTAAATTAAAGGTAATAGTAGCCAGGCCCAGAGGTACACGCCTGCAGGCCCAGAACTCTGGCAGACTGAAGTAGGAGGATGGTAAATTCAAGCCCAGGCTGGGCAATTTAGCTACTTAGTGAAACCCTGCTTCCAAAAAAGAACTCAGAAGGCAGCTTCGTGCAAAGGCCCTGGGTTCCAGGTACCCCTCCCCCAGAAAGGCAAAGACTGTAAAGTATGTGCTAGTGGTAGGGAAGGATTGGGCTCCTCTGCAAAAGGCTTAAGGCTTCGTGGTGCCCTTGCCTGCCGCACAGTCCAGCCCTCACCTACACTGCGTGCCCTGCCTCTTGCTTACCTGATTTAGTGCAGGGGGCATGGGATGCCTGAAAAGACATACATGTGTACTGGAAGAATCTAAAAGAGGACTGGGAAGGTTAGTGCAAAACCCCGGATCAACAAATTATAATAAAAGACTGTGCATCAGGGAAATGAAGCCACTTCTGTGTCGCCAAAGGGCCAGTGGAAGCCGGGCTGTGTTTCTCTGCTTAGATCACGCCTTCACTGAACCCATAAGTGTTGTAATTCAATTAAATATACATGAATCAACCCTTAACACAATTAACTAATCTCTTTTAATCCTGAAATTTATTCTTTATTTACAAATGTTGTATTCTAGACCTCTAGTGCACATATATTAATGAAAAATGATACTGTGAGCTTTCCTAAAGAGTTTGCACAAGATACTTACTATTTAAAATATTTATATAAATCTACAAATATTCAGCTTATTAGTGGTTTAAGTAACCATGTTGCAAGTCTCACCGGCAGCATCTCTCTAACACTTCATTACTAAAGTCTGCAGTGCCATCGTCGCCTCTGACACACAAGGACCTCCAGGTGACACAAGGGAGACAACGCACTGCTCATGTTTTTCGTTTATCCTTATTGCAGGAGTATCCATAGATAAGGATAAAAGCGTTCTAAGTTCCATGATTCTGATGGCTACAAAGCCACTGAAGTGTGCAGTCTTTCAGCAGGTGAACTGGACGGTACGTAAGTTATTTCTCAATAAAGCTGTTTTAAAAACAGATCGAAGTCAGTCACAGTGATGTGCACCTGTTCTCCCAGTGCTCAGGAGGCTGAAACTGGAGATCACTTGAGCCCAGGAGTTTGAGAGCAGCCTGGGCAGAAAGCCCATTATAAAAAAAAAAAAAAAAAAGATTTAAAAATAAAAGTATTAGCCAGTCATGGTGTCTCATGCCTGTAGTCCCAACACTAGAGAGGCTGAGGCAAAAAGATGGGCAGGAGTTTGAGGCCAGCTTGGGCTACATAGCAAGAACTTGTCAGGATAGATAGATGACAGATAGATATTTTTAGAAGAGATTATAAAATAGCAATAAAAAAAAGAGGGCCAGAATTAGAGCGCGTGCTCCCAAGTTTGATTCCTGGTTAAAAAAAAAAAAAATTAGGAATGATACAGAATTTCATTAAACAAAATAATATAAATTCAACGGTAGTTGTTGTATGGCATCGAGTTGTCTTCAACTTAGTTGTTCAGATGATAGATAAATAGATGATAGATAGATATTAAGAAAACAAAACTCCGCAACATTCTAGTCCATACACAATAAAACCATTCTGAACTACCAGTATTACTAAGAGTAGAAAGTTCTACTTACTGGGGGCAGGGGGACTGTGCTAACTTATTCCCCACCACATCCCCCAAAAAGCAAAGCCAAATACAACAGATCCAGAACCTGAACCTAGCCACTTCTTTTTAAAAGAAAATAATTTTTCAACCATCAATTGAATCACAAGGTGCAATTAATTTTGGCATATCTTAGGCACAGTTATGATGTTCCAAATAGCTCCACACTGTGACTGGTAACTACTGCTTAAAATGATAGTCCATGTTCTGAGAAAATATTAATATATAATAAATAATTAAGTGAAAAATATATTTGTGGGCCAGCCAAATAGCTCAGCATATTAAAGTGCCTGCAAGCAGGCGCAGGGGCCCAGGGTTCAACCCCTGGACCTGCCATGCTGGCCCTGCCCCTGGGGTATGCTGAGACTGCAATTAAGACTGGGCATGGTGGTGTACGCCTGTAATCCCAGCTCTTGGGAGGCTGTAAACAGGCGGATCACTACGAGTAGAATCTAGTGGTGAAACCCTGAACACCCTGTAGACTCTTCCCTAA